AAAAAAATTCTGTTCTGAAAAGAATAAGAAACTCCTTGTCCTTTCTAGGTATAAAAGAAATCCCACATACTTAATCTGAGACACTATGGTATCATTTGAAACAGTGGATATTGAAGCAGACGTAATATTTGCACTAGGCTGTGAAATAAATAGGCATTTGAAACTGTGTTAGGATGTGAATTTCCATAGTGCCTTGAGGGATGTAATTTTTGCATTATGTGAGCAGTTTGGATGAGAAGACCACGCAGTGAAGCTGAACAGCTGTATCCTGCCCACACATTGTGAAGTGAGGGAGAGGCTGGAAGCCCGAGGGAATCCTTATAAGACACCGTGTCCCTGAAGTTTTTCAACAAAGAGGTTGTGTGGGGATGTGCTGTCTAGAAACGAGCTTAAGGGACTATTCCCCCTCCCTGCACCACGCAATGTAGCATAAACACCAGCTTCTGTCTACATGCATTTGTTTATTTATTTTGACATAAAATACTGCCTGTTGCTTTGAAGTCCTGGGAGTGATGGGTTTCATGCCTATTTCATATCTACTTGGGTTTTACTGCTAAAGGAGTGACACCAGGCCAGGAGGCAGCCACAGGTTGATGGAGCTGTGCAGTGGCACCAGGTCCCTCCTGTCCTCCTTGGGAGAGCTGAGGGGCTGGTGGGGAGCCAGGTCCCTGAGCCCCACTCCAGCAAACTGACCTCCTATTGACTGCTCTTCTTAGTGGAAACCTCAGGAGAAGGGAAGCAAAGTTCCTGGCACCTCTTAGGGCTTGGGATAGATTTGTCACTGTGCATCAGCAGATTTGAGTTTAAAGACTCTGAGGAGTCTGCACTCCTTGTGTGCTGCTTGTGTAATTGGAGGATCATTTTTAAACTAGGTGATAGATAAGCTTCCTGCCATTTGCAAAGGCGACTTCTCTGTGGAAGAAACAACCACAACAGCAAAAACAACAAAAGACAAGATTCTCTGAATTATTTAGAGTTGCCAAAGGTGTTGAGATAGGAGCTAATTAAAAAAAAAACCTATCTGCAATGCAATGCCATAAAAGAATAATAAAATTCAAATCTCATTTGTTCCACTTCATGTTCCTCGTATGCATAAACCTCTATAAAAGGCAGCATCTGTGTTCACATTGTATGCTGAAAAGATATCACACAACGACTAATTCAATTGACATTTTTAACTGTTCATTGTACCATATATTTCCATTTACTAGATTTTTTAAGTCTTTTTAAGTGCATCATGTATGGAACAGGATAAAATAAGATAGAGCCGTTTACTTCCATAATGAGATTGGTGGTGGGAAATGATAGAGCATTGAGCTGTCAATTTGAGCACCAGCCATACTTGCAGGATTTAAAATAGTATTTGAAGCTTTTCTACCAGCCAGTGATAGTATTTATGTTGTGCTAGTTATGTGGATTAGTGTTGCAAAGGAAAGCATGATGGAGTATTATCTAATTTGAACGAACAATTTAGAGATCACTCATCTGTTATGATTTGGAACGAGAATATTATAATATCAACAATGCCCGCAACTAATAATAACATATTTAGCTTTGGTGACAAAACCTAGGTTTTCTTTTAATTTTCAGTCGGAGGTGTTTTTAATTGTTTAAATATGCCAAGATGCTTATCTAATGCAAATAAGAGGTCTGGGTTCCTTTTTTCTGTTGGGTTCTTTTGCTGGTGGAGTTTGAGGTTTGGGTGTTTTCTTTATGCTTATAGCTACAAGGTAATCTTTTCTTCTGACTCTTGTTCCACATGGCAAATTCACAATGAAATCAATAGGAATGATTGGTTTTTAGATCCACTGTAGGATTGGCTACAAGCATACAAATGAAGCTGGAGAACAAAGTCACCTGAGCTCTCTTATGAGGGTGAAATGCAAACACATAAGCTCAGAAGTGGCCTCACTGTCTCCTTTGCTCTTTCTCTGTTGCCCCTAGGCGAAAGGAGGAAAAATCTCCAGCAGTACCTGCAGCTCAGGGCCAGCCCAGGTTTTGCAGCCCTATGGAACAAAAGGTTTTCAAAGAAACATTTTGTCACCCTCGGAAGAAAAGAAGGCTTTATAGTAAATGCAGTGATTTTATGGGCAGAAAAAAAACCTCTGAAACATCCTTTATGGTGAAAATAAAAGTGATTCTTTTTGGGTTTATATTTACTTTTTTTAACTTAATAAAGAGGGCATCTTTCCCATCTTTTTTTATTCTCCCAAAACAGGGGCAGGTTTAAAAAACAAAGAAGCAACCCAGAAAGTAAATTTGAAAGATGCTCACACTCCTCTGCTCAAGCCTGAAGTGAACAGTGTAAGTTTGGTGTGGAAATAAAAATACCCGGAGCGTCTCTGCAGTGGTGGGGAGGTGCTGGAGCACAGGGAAGAGCTCCTGTCCCATTTACCCGCCTGTGCAGCGGCTGAGCAGCTTCCTTGGGAGCGCTGAACTCGCTCCCCGCTGCCTTCCAGGAGCTGCAGGGACAGCCCAGCCCAGCCCTGGTTCATGGTGTGTCTGCTCCGGGAGCTGCAGGGACAGCCAGCCCAGCCCAGCCCAGCCCAGCCCAGCCCAGCCCAGCCCAGCCCAGCCGCTCTCCGGCCCCTCGGAGAGGTCAGGGCGAGAAGAGCTGAGAGGGACAGGGGGCAGCTGGGCCGGGGAATTGCGGGCTCTGCTCTGCAGAACTCATCCAAAAACCAGCCTGGAGCCGGGTGGGGACGGGAGAGCAGAACCCACTGCCAGGGACAGGGGAGAGCAGAACCCACTGCCAGGGAACAGGGGAGAGCAAAATTCACTGCCAGGGACAGGGGAGAGCAGAACCCACTGCCAGGGAACAGGGGAGAGCAGAACCCACTGCCAGGGAACAGGGGAGAGCAGAACCCACTGCCAGGGAACAGGGGAGAGCAGAATTCACTGCCAGGGACAGGGGAGAGCAGAAGCCAGTGCCAGGGCAGTGCCGAGCCCAGGGGCTGTGTGTCCATGGCAAAGCACGCTGCTGCCTTGCCAGGGAAGGTGACCCCCGTGGTCCTTGTCACACCGGGTCAGGACAGCAGAGCTGAGCTCCCTGCTGCAGGACCTGGTCATTAAACAACATCGTGTCTCCCAGCAAACCGCTCACTTCTGTTGGAGAATTGGTTGGCAGAGCTGTGACTGTCTCTGCTTTTTCTTAGGGACTTTGGGAATGACCTTACTCTTTGCTGTCGGCTTGGCAGAGCAGGTCTCTGCGTCTATTACTGAACCTGAATCATATTAAACCTAATCTAGGTGATCCTAATAGCCTTTTCTGGCCTTAGAATCTGTGAAATGTATTAATCTCTGCTAGATGAAATAATATTTTATGGACTAATATATTAATGACTCTTTCTTTAAATATTTTAACACCTAAAACTGGCAGTCTCTGTCACTTTCATTTCATTTTATATTTCCCAGAATAATAAAAAAAAGGTGTATATTCAATCTCCACAGAAAACCACTCTTAGGAATTTTTCTCTCTCCCCCTTTTTTCTTCACCCTCCTGGGACTCGCCAGCTCAGCTGGCCATGATTTTTGATAGCTGTTGGATTCTATTTGCAAGCACTGCAGGCCTTTGAACTTCTGTGTGCATAAACTAGTTTCTCAGCCACTTACTTACTTAGCTTCTCATGATTATTTCTGGGAGAAGGTGAATCGCTTCTTCCCAAAGATGCAGCTGTTGGCCAAAGCATATTCCATTAAATTTACTTAGCACTAAGCCATTACTACTGTTCTTGGCAAGCCTCTTTCCTTCTAAATCAATTATATTTGACTTGTACAGTGAAACCATGAGGAATGAACAAGCACATTTGCAATCCCCACCACCAGTGAAACCACCACAAGGTAAACACACATAAATGTACACAAACACACACAGGCACACACACTGATTCTTGCCAAAACAAAGGAAGCTGATCCTAGGTTGAATATAAAATCAGACTGAAAACAGTTTTAGCTTCATTAATTCCAGCCTCTTGCTTACTGGGATTTGCCAGTCTCTGGCAGACCCAGATACAGATGATCTGAAGATACTGGAAAAGCTGAACTCATGTTTCTAAAGTCCAGAAATAAGCTGGAAATAAAAACAATAATGCCTTGAAAATCTGCTTATGTTGTGTTTCCAGTTTAGTTTTAGCATTGCTTAGGGAGCTGAATAACAGCCCACGAATAAATAATCCACATTTTGGGGTGCCTTTTTGATCTTCCCACTGCTGCAAGTGATACACTTTGGCATCCCAGCCCAAGCTGATCAGAGGACAGCAAGCATTTCTTGAGGTTTTGAGACCTGTTTTCTTTCCACATTAGAGCAAAGAAAACTAAAATAGAGGTGAGTTGGAGGAGGGCTCCTGAATATGAATATGTCTGAATATGAATATGTCTGAGTGATCTGAAAGGATCAGATGAAGGAAGGAAAGTGGGTGAGAGGGAAGAGCACCTGGACCATGTTCTGCCCTCCCAAGTGCAGGTGTCCCCATGTTTGGTCCTGGAGGAGAGACTCACACCCTGGCCTGCTGACAAGCACTCAGTCCACTCTGGACTTGACCACTTTCCAAGGGATGCTTTGGTGGTAACTTTTCACCAGGCATAATTACAGTTCCCACAGTGCCTGTGATTGATACCACTATAAAACTTTCTGAGCTTGCTACCTTTGGGGATTTTTTTCCCTTTCTTTCTGTGTAATCCACCCTTCTGCTGTCCTGAGTGATAGATACACTGTCATGCAGAGCTCAGAGGTGATTTTGTTCAGAAGCCATTACAATGACACACCACTCACCAGAGAATGACAAGCACTTTTATCTCACTCTTGTTCTTGGAACCATGGTGCTTCTCTTTTTCCCCCCCTTTAGTCAATCATAGCTATCCATGGGATTATGTACACTGAAGCAGGATTCCAGATCTTCTCAACTCTTGTGCTCATGCTAACAGCTAACACAGTTATACATTGTTTACATATGTAATGAATGGGGTTTTTATGTTACATGAAATTACTTCAAATTACTTACAAATTACTTCAGCAGGGCTGATTAAAAACTGCTCTTCCTTCCAAGCTCTAATTCTTCTGCTGCTGGTGTCCCAGCTGTGTTTGAATGCTGCAGGTTCTGATTCCCTCAGACAGGAGAGAGCTTTGAACTGAGGTCCTCTACGTTGCATTTAGCTGGTGTTTTAACCTGGAAGATTGAGAACAAGAAGAGGATGGCATTTCCTTCTGGTCCCTGCAGCTAAATCCCTCTACCCCCGACAGCATACTGCCTTTTTTGTTCCTCTTTCTTCTTTGTCATCTGAATCTCCTCATCCATTTTGGGAGGAGGTCTAAGATGGTGAATGAGAAGTGGGTGGGTGACTAAAATATCAAACTATTCCTGGTTTGCCACTATGTATATGTCTTTTTGCCCAGTTCTCCATCCATAGCAGACCAGCTGGGGCTGGGGGAGGAGAGGGACTGGTGGGAGGGAGGGCTGTCTGTCTGTCTGTCTGGGAAGCTGCATTTACCCTTTTCAGGAAATGAAACAAAGAAAATAAGACCAAGTGGGTCTCATTGGCGTGTACCTGATTGTAACCTGCAAGCACTGCAATGGGGTTGATTGATCTCAAATCCAGTTACATGTCTCCCCAGAAATATAGAAGACTGAAGAAAATATTATTAGTTACCAACAGAAATAGCAGCAGGCAGATTATTTTTTGACAAACAATGATTTCATGCTTTGTTGAAGCAAAAGAGAAGAAAAAAAGGGAAGTCAAAGCATGAGGGGGAAGAATGAAAATGCCAAGACTGAGGAAATGCTATAAATTAACAAAATACTGATCAAAAGCATTAGTTCCTGACAGACTTTAGGAAGCCACTACTACTTAGATGCTAGAACACTCTTTTTTGGAGAGCTGCATGACAGCTAAGCTTTTCCAGATATCAGGGAGTTCCCATGCTTTATATTTCTTCAGAGACACAGGGGTTGGCCACTATTTTTTTCTGTCTCTCAGCACCAATTGGTGGCAGATAGAGCAGGGTTTTACTGGAGCTGATGTGGTGTGAGCCTCACATCTCAGGAAGGAAAAGCCACCAGCACCAAACTGGTGCTGTCCTCTTGACAGGAGCAAACCAAGCCAAGACTTGGCATAAACATCAGACCTTTTCTGCCACACCTTGGCCTTAGGCTCAGGGGAGTTTGGGTCTGGCAGCTCACCAGAGGGAACAGGATGGCTGAGAAACACTTTTGAAAGCTGAAAGTTACAACCTGACAGTGAAAGTCCTGTTATTCTTGCCTGACTTGTGGTTTGTGAATGGCTCAATGTCCCATCAAGCCCTTTTTACTCCAGCTCAAAATAGCACAGGCAAGTCTGCTAATAGTTTCGATAGCAGCAATTTTCAAAGCCTCAGCCACAATACAAACTGAGGGCCTGATCCAGAGATAATGGAAGTGTTTCCCTGAATTGAATCTGAGCCTAAAATGGCAGAGCCAGAAAGGGAAAAAAATAAACTCTATGGAAGTGACTAGAAATATATTGAAAATGAGTTCTGGAGGGAGCTCAGTCCAGCTGTGCATGGCATTTCCCTGCCTTTGGCAGTGTGGCTGCAGGAGCACCAGGCTGAGGGTTATTATGGGATGAGAGCTCTAAGCTGCCCCTCTCCTCATCAAGGGTGAGCACCAGCAGCAGCCCTGTGCTCCAGGCACACTCCCACTGCCCCTTTACAGTGACAGCTGTCAGTGAGATGGAGCCGTGCTCAGACAGCAAAAATCTGTTTTTCTCCCCCTGTAAAACTGCTGCCTCTTTGCCTGTCTGCTTGCTTAATGGCTTTTTTTCCCCCTCCATCAGGAGTAGGTACAGCAGTGAGCAAACTTTGGGATTGCTGTTAACCCACATAGATTACTTGCTTATTTTTCCCACCAGGCTCAGAAAGCTGATTAATTTTAGATGGACTAAGGCTGATTCAAAGCCTGCTGAAATCTGTAATAAATCACTACAATGAAAATATAATTTCACTTACAACAATGACAAAATGGCCTTTGACATCTGTAGACAGGCCAAAATTCCACTTCAAGTACATGCATGCTGAATCAAAGTTAATGAGAAACCATATTCATTAGCAGTTAAAAAAACCAAAACGAACAAATCAAAAAATGAGGGTGAAAAACATTTTTGTAAAAAAATTAACCAGATGCCAATTGTTCCTGTATTTTATTTGTAGTCTTTATACAGGATAACTTCCCTTACTTAACACAAGAGACAATCTCAGTGCATTTTACAACCTGTAGAATTAAGTTTGCATATCAGCGTGGAAGCACCTGATTTGAGGATGCCATGGAAAACATTCACCACAGCTGTTACACTTCTGCAGCTGTACTGTGAGACCTTTGAATGTTCTCTGCTCCCAACACGGAGTGTGTTTGCAATGTCGAAGATGCACAGTTTGTGAGAAGGCTGGGAGGGGATGCATGTGAATGTGTGTGTGGGGACACCTTTGTCCCATTTGCATTTCCATTTATGCAGCAGATGATGAGTCATATTGTATAATTACATAGATAGAAAGTTATTTGATGTTTAATTTTGCCTAGACAAATGTTAGTTGCTTCCTAAGCAGTATTTTCTCCCTATCAGTATCTTCCTAATAGCTGTGGATTTTTAATTACTGATAATTAGTATTTACATGGAGCCTTTAGCAAACAATTCCTGAAGTACTTGTAGTAATTACATATGTAAATTGTTATGAAAGAAAAATGTTTGCAGCTTGACAAAAGGAAAGCTAGGAAAGTAGGTAGAGAGCAGAGGTCAGGGTTTGATGTTTAAAAATGAGGCAGAGGTAGGACAAAGTTCCATATTTTTCCTACACTGTCAGATAAAACAGAATCAATCAATCAGGAATTTCTGTGTGACTTTTATTTTTTTTAAACTAGAGCAGAAATGAGAACAACTTCTGTTGATTCTGATTTATTGATACTGACAGAAGAGTTGAAAAATACCTATGTGATGCCTTTTCTTAGGTGGCCTTAGGAGTCCTGGAGAGGGGTTGAAGGAAATGTCTTGCTGAGACACTGGGCTCTGCATGATACTGTCAGAGAGCAGATGGGTTTATAAAACAAGAGACAGATGAAACAGAACTGAGAAATTTCTGAAAATCTCTCAGTTAAGAATCCCTGGGCAATGCTGAGCTCCTGAAGTCCTTTCTCAGATTTTGGACAGGGCTGCATGTCAGAAATATCAATCACAGACCCAGTTCAGATGGATAAAGGGAGATAGCAGACTTACAGCACATGTGTGGAAAGAGATACAACCCTCTTTCTGTGCTGCCTGCATAATTCTTGCCTATCACATCTAACTCTTTCTTCAGCCACAGCTCTGAGGCTCAGACCCACAGCAGCATCTGTGACCCCTAAATCTCTGCACGCCTCTTGGAGCTGTGATTGCTCCTGTTACTGAGCTCTTCTGGGCTCACACAAGAAGGCAAATTCTTTTCTTGTTAGAAAGGGAAATTAGGTTTCATTACTTATTACAGAGATAAAAGTTTAAGTTTTTTCTCCTTGTGAATGTTTTAGGAACCTGCTGAGCTGATCAGCTCTGTTGTCTGATGAGCACTCTGCAGTGACACGAAGAGAAAATGAATTAAAGGCTTTGTCTGCTGTTCTCTTTTTAACATCCTAAAAGTCCACTAGGGACAAGCAAATAACAGTCCAGTCCAGGTCTCCCCAGCCACATTTGCCTTGTCAACAACTGCCCAGGAGCAACCCATATGACCCCCCCCCAGATCATATATTCCATTAGTATAAATTATTAAAATGAAATATTTTACAAGTGGCTACAGACGTATTCTGAATTAATCCCTTTATTCCATTATGAGACAATAAACCTTTACATTTCTGAGAGCTCTTGTCAGACATTCTGCTTCACTCAGGAATAAAAATATTCAAAGGTTGGGAGGCTCTTCCTCAATCCCACTACGTTCATATTAATCAGGCTGGCCAGCATGTAACTCTGCAGATAGTAATCATCAGATGTTCTTTTCCAGAGAAATTTGGTTTGCAACTCCACAGGCAGCACAGATCACATTAGACTCAGGCCTTGGTCTTCTCCAAGGAGGTCTAAATGCTCTGGCAGGGCAAGTTGGCCCTACAGCTGAACTGTGCATAACTTCACAGAAAATAATTTGTTGTTGCCTGATTGGTGCCTGTTGCATGTGTAGTGGGAGCTTAATCCAAAAGGCATGCCAGGCTTTTCAAAACTGTCATCAGAGGCAGGCTAATCTCTGGCAAAAGCATGGCAGATTGAGACTGAGCACCGAGCTGAAGCTGTTCCTCTGGCTTCCCAATGCCATGGGATTACTTTCTTCCATTGTTATACTCAGATGGCCAGTATTGATTGCTGCTGTAAAGAACCAGGAAAGTGATGAACCAACTCTATTTCATTTTATAGCTATAGGTGAAATGTTTTTCAGACATTTTATGCTAGTATTCTAATTTGCTTTTGGGAAACAAAAAGAGAGTAGCAGCATCTACACAAGCAGGATCTTCTTAGAGCTAAAACAGGAAGATATGGATTTAGAAAGAAATCTGAGTAAATTCTAAACTGGAGTATTTCATGTTTTCAGTGAAACACATTCCCAACTCACGTTGGGAGTGTGTGCTGTGTGTGTGGATACTTGCTTGGAATGGATCCAGTGGCAGGGTCCAAATTCATCAGGGATAAGGAGTCTCCCTCTCAAGTCTTCAAAGTTTTACAAAATCAAATGCTTTCAAATTTAAGTGAAGACATATTATCCAGATGCCCATACAGCTTTAACATCATTTTGAGATGGTAAATGCTTTCATTAGGGCTATTTTATTCAGAAGAAAATATGTGGGAGTGCAGAAATCTGACATTTCCTAATGTTTGAGTGCCATCTAAATAAGTCTCCTTTTACACAATTCTGAGTATATGCCATTGTATATAATTATTCCAGCTTCTTAAACAACGGGACACTACCACTGGTAACAATGTGGATACAGTGAGCTGATGAAGTATGAGCTGAATAATTCTTTTTCTCTCTTGAGTACAAAGGAGGTACAGGAAGACTGGACCATCAGTCTCCCCCTTTTCCTGGACTTTGAATCATGTCAGGACTGTGGTGAAGCATCTTCACAGTTCTGCTACTGCACACCTAGATGTAT